ATGTTCTGCAATTTTCTGTGCCCTAGGTTGAACTTCTTTCAGCATTGCACTAGCATCTTCATCATAATTCAATTCACAGGCAAGGGCAAGATCACGAGCTGTTTCCTTCCCAGTGGCCTAGAAGATGAGTGTGCTTTCCCTCGCCACTTGTAAGGCCGAGTTGAATCAGGATTTATTTCAATGGCTCTGTCAGTTTCGGATGACAGCATTTGGCTTCTGTAATTAGATGAAGACGCTGGCCCTCTTGGCATGCAAAATGGCCAAGCGAGGATATTCAGCTTGATGGCACCTCTGAATAAGTCAATGGCTTTCTGGAGCTCACCATCATTTAGGGCTTCAATAGCAGCCACTTTCTTATCATTTGCCTGATCCATCATCTCCTCTGTTATCTCTGCATTTTCATCTCCCATTTCTTGAGGGGCATCAGTGTCTGGTTCAATCACACCTTCTTTATCAATTTCTAGATCACTTTCCTCACTTGATGGTTTGTCTGCCTCTAAGTCTTCCTCCACCTTCTTACTATCAGATTCTTCTTCCTTGGTATTTTCTTCTGATTTAGCTTTCTGAGTAGCAGGTGGTACTTTACCCCCCATGCTCTCTATCCACTCCTTCAGGAAGTGCATTTCCTCGGTGTGCAGAACGCTCGGATCCTGTTTACACGTTTTCACAAAGGCCTGAAGCTTGTTCGCTTTGCGGGGGTCCGTGGTAGGGAGGTGGTGGGCGAAGCTGGGGAACTGCGGTCCAGCTCCAGGTCCAGGCGCTGGCTCAGTGTGATCGTGCAGAAGGGGCTATTCAGTCTTAAAAGACTTCTTACAAAATCTTGTCACTTTTTTGTTTTGTTTTTTGACGCAGAGCCTCGCTCTGTTGCCCAGCCTGGAGTGCAGTGGTGCAATCTCGGCTCACTGTAACCTCTACCTCCCAGGTTCTAAGGGATTCTCCTGCCTCATCCTCTTGAGTAGCTGGGATTACAGCATGTGCCACAACACCCAGCTAATTTTTGTATTTTTAGTAGAGGCAGGGTTTCACCATGTTGGCCAGGCTGGTCTCGAACTCCTAACCTCAGGTGATCCGCCTGCCTTGGCCTCCCAAAGTGCTGGGATTATAGGCGGGAGCCACGGTGCCCAGCCAATCTGTTCATATTTTAAGACAAACTTTGAGAGTATTACGTTACCTGAAATAAGCCAGATGCAAAATGATGGATACCGTATAATTCCACTTACATGAGATGCCTTACGTAGTTACACTCATAAAAACAGAAAGTAGAAGGGTATTTGTCAAGGGGTGGAGAGAGGGTAAAATAAGTTATTGTTACTTAATGTGTATTTGAGTTTTAGTTTAACAAGATGTAAAATTTCTAGAAGTCTTTTGCATAGCAATGTGAATATACTTAACACGCCTGAAATGTATAGCTTCTTTTTGAGACAGGATCTCACTCTATCACCCAAGCTGGAGGACAGTGGCACAATTATGGCTCACTTAGCCTCAAACTCTCAGGCTCAAATAATCCTACCCCTTTAATTTCCCAAGTAGCTGAGACCACAGGTGTCAGCCATTCCTGACATAAATGCCTTTATGAGCGAGCCACGCATTATGGCTCACACCTGTAATGAGAGTTACATGGTACATCACGGTTGAAAAATCGTTTCAGGCTAGGATTTCAAGACCAGCCTGGGTTATGTAGAAAGCCCCGATCTCCAAAATAAGTGCCTTTAAGAGAGCTTTGAGATCCAGGGAGGGGGAAGTGAAACTCTGCTAAAGCCCCAAATTAAGGAGTGTTCTTTTCAGAAGCCAGGCCCTCATTCAGGTGGCAAACTACAGGACCCCTGTTCTTGGCTACAGGTAAGAAAACAGCCCACTCAACTTGGTTCCACTGAGAATTCATATATATATGAATTTATATATATATATATATATATAAAAGCGTTCTTTTTTTTTTTTTTTGAGACAAAATCTCACTGTGGTGTGGGTCGCCCAGGCTGGAGTACAGTGGCATGACCTCAGCTCACTGAAACTTCCACCTCCTGGGTTCAACATTCTCCTGTCTCAGCCTCCCGAGTAGCTGGGACTACAGGCATGCACCACCATGCCCAGCTAATTTTTGTATTTTTGTAGAGACAGGTTTTGCCATGTTGGCCAGGCTGGTCTTGAACTCCTGATCTCAGGTGATCTGCCCACTTGGCCTCCCAAAGTTCTGGGATTACAGGCATGTGCCACCACAGCCAGCCCCCACTGAGAATTGTGAACTTCCTCTGTAATCATCCCAAACTCCTCCCAGGCACAGTATGGGAGAGGTCCTGTCCTTTCAGAGGCCTGGAGTAAGACATCGATTTATAGCCATACAGGCAGGCCTGCAGCAGACCTTGGCCTTCACTGTGGTCCCTGAAACAGTTCAATGACTCAGTTCCAGCTCCATGGGCCACAGTTCATGGCCAGTTCTGCCTACGGAGAAACCTAAACAATGACCTGTAGAAATCCTCTTTGGTACTCAGTGAAAGCCATACTCGCCCACATTTTGATATAAGGCCCAACCATATGCAGACCTGAATGTAGAAACGTGCCCTAGTGTCTGCCCTACAGAGCAAAATTCTGAAGGATATTCAGTCTGTTTAAAAACAAAATGGGAAGCTGGGTGCAACGGCTCATGCCTGTAATCCCAGCACTTTGAGAGGACAAGGTGGACAGATCACCTGAGGTCAGGAGTTCAAGCCTGATCAACATGGTGAAACCCTGTCTCTACTACAAATACAAAATACAAAATTAGCCAGGCCTGATGACACATGCATGTAATCCCAGCTACTTGGAAGGCTGAGGCAGGAGAATCGCTTGAACTCGGGAAGCAGTGGTTTCAGTTAGCTGAGATCACGCCACTGCACTCCAGTCAGGGCAACAAGAGCAAAACTCCATCTCAAAAGAAAAATAAAATAAAACAAGATAAAATAAAATAGGAATTACAACTATCCAAGCCCCTTGTAACCAGCCAACTAAAGGTGGACCCTAGTACAGAAACTGCAGGCTTGAGACCAAGCTACTACCCCTCTCCACAAACCCAGGGGGCATCCCAGAACCCTGGCGCCCAAAAAAGAAGATCTTGGCTGGGCAAAGTGGCTCATGCCTATAATCCTAGCACTTTGGGAAGCTGAGGAGGGTGGATCACAGGGTCAGGAGTTCGAGACCAGCCTGACCAACATGGTGAAACTCCATCTCTACTAAAAATTAGCTGGGCATGGTGGCATGCGCCTGTAATCCCAGCTACTCGGGAGGCTGAGGCACCAGAATCGCTTGAACCCGGGAGGCGGAGGTTGCAGTGAGCTGAGATCATGCGACTGCGCTACAGCCTGGGTGACAGACCGAGACTTAGTCTCGGAAAAAAAAAAAACAAACTTTACCTTCTGAAATCAGTTTATAAAAACTTGAAGAGGTATTTGCATTTTCAAATTTACAGACACCAATGCCAAACTATATTGTGCCCACTTGTTAATGCTTCTCTTTTAACATAACACTGAAAGTATGTGGCAGAAGAATTAGTCAAAAAATAAAAAACCCATTGAAATTGAAGACAACTAAGTAAAATGTTTCTGTTTGTAGATCATAAAATCTTATATATAAAAATACATAAACAGTACATTAAAACCTATCTAAATTAATAAATACACTCAGTAAATTACCAAATATAAAATCAACCTACAAGTTATGGTTTCATAAATCGAAATTGTCTAAAACAAAGAAAACAATATGATTTACAATAGCATTAAAATAATGTATTTCTGAGAACAAATTGACCCAAGAAAGTGAAAAAAAATCTTTACAATTAAAGATATAAGATTTCAATGAAGAAATTAGAAAAGATTCAAGTAAGCTTTAAAATATTTAATATCTATGGATTTAAAGAATAAATATTGTTAAAGTACCATATTATCCAAAGTGATCTATAGATTCAAGAAACTCCCTACCAAAATTCCAGTGGCATTTTTTTCACAGTAATTGAAAATACAATCCCTAAATTTACATGAAACTAAAATAAACCCTTTTTTTTTTTTTGAGATGAAGTTTCACTCTTATTGCTAAGGCTGGAGTACAGTGGCACAATCTCAGCTTGCAGTAACCTCTGCCTCCTCGGTTCCAGCAATTCTCCTCCCTCAGCCTCCGGAGTGGCTGGGATTACAGGCATGCACCACCATGCCTGGCTAATTTTTTGTATTCTTAGTAGAGACGAGGCTTCACCATGTTGGTCAGGCTGGTCTTGAACTCCTGATCTCAGGTGATCCACCCACCTCGGCCTCCCAAAGTGCTGGGTTACAGGCGTGAGCCACCATGCCCAGGCCAATAAATCTTTTTAAGAGACAGGGTCTCCTTATGTTGCCCAGGTTGGTATCCAACTCCTGGGCTCAAGGGATCCTTCTGCCTCAGCCTCCCAAAGAGATAGGATTATAGCTGTGAGCCACTGCACCCAGCCAAAACTACGAGAAACTTTGAATAGTCAAAGCAATCATGAGGAATAAAAACAAAGCAGAACATCACACTTCTTAATTTCAAACTATATTTCAAGCCTGTAGTAATACAAACAGGATGAAATGTGCAGAAAAATAAACAAACAAAAAAAAATGGAACAGAAACTACAACTCTTACACATTTCAGACACGATGCAAAAAGAGAACTTACAAAATAGTGTGACACAGAGTTTCTCAAAATTATGCACATATTTCTGAGTCTCCAAAAACAATGGAAAAAAAAAGTCAGATTGTGCAATCTCTTATATGCCATGAAGAGGACTTTAGCTCACTGTAAACTTGAAGGAAGATCACTGAAGGGAAAGTAGAATTTTTAAAGAATCAGCATAAGACAGAAGATGCCCCTATGTTGAAGTAAAAAAAAAAAAAAAAAGCTGCCTAGAAGCTATTTCCTTTGGAACACAGATTTCCAAGTCACATTTTATGGACTGGCTTTCTTTTTCACCTTTGGACCTCTCATCTGTGTCGTCTGTTATAATCGCTCTCACCTACCTGGGGGTTTGGCTACCATCTCGTGTCTCTTCATATTCCAGGGCTCTTTTCCTTGCTCCAGACAGGTGATCAGGTCTAAATTAGACACAGCAATACCTGTTTTATTAAAAATAAATAACATGAATCTTGCTCATACTCTCCAATTACCAACCTAGTAATTTTCTCAGTAAAGAGAATGCAGGCCACGCACAGTGGCTCATGCCGGTAATGCCAGCACTCCGAGAGGCCGAGGTAGGTAGATCACCTGAGGTCAGGAGTTCGAGACCAGACTGGTCAACAATGTCAAAACCCTGTCTCTACTGAAAATACAGAAATTAGCTGGATGTGGTGGTGCACGCCTGTAGTCCTAGCTGCTCGGGAGGCTGAGACAGGAGAATCACTAGAACCCAGGAGGCAAAGGTTGCAGTGAGCTGAGATTGCACCACTGCATCCAGCCTGAGTGACAGAGCAAGACTCCATCTCAGAAAAAAATATTTTAAAGAGAATGTGATAGAATATTCTAGTAAATTAATCACAAAATACTAACTTTTAACAAAATTTCTAAATGTTAAAATATTTTCAATTTGTATGTTCTTAATTTTACTACTCAGTGCTACTGAATCAAAAATTGGTGGTGGCAATTAGATTTTAAGGTGTGGGCAACAGTATTTTATGCCACTAAATTTCTGGAATTACCACTAATCTAGAGTGAAGGATACAGATCAGCTCAGAAAGGTGGAAAGTTCAGGTCAGGGTGAAACAGCTACACAGATAAATCCTACATTTTCTTAAAAACAGGTATCTGAAACTCATTTATGTAAAGCATAAATTGCCAAAAAAATGCAGCAAAAAACAGAAATGAAACCTTTAGAGTATATCAGGAATTGTGTATTAAAGTCATCCTCACCCGCAGGGCGCAGTGGCTCACACCTGTAATCCCAGCACTTTAGGAGGCTGAGGCAGGCGGACCCTGAGGTAAGGAGTTCGAGACCAGCCTGACCAACATAGTAAAACCCCGTCTCTACTAAAAATACAAAAATTAACCGGACATGGTGGTCCACGCCTATAATCCCAGCTACTCAGGAGGCTGAGGCAGGAGAATCACTTGAACCCTAGAGGCAAAGGTTGCGGTGAGCCGAGATCGTGCCACTGCTCTCCAGCCTGGGCAACAGAATGAAATTCTGTCTCAAAAAAATAATAATCATAATAATAATAATTTAAAAAAAAACTTATCCTCACCCAGGAATACCAGGTTTCTGTAGTTCTCTAACATGACATTCCTATATAAATTCTGCTGTGCTGTGTCTAGGCACTGCCACTCCTCCAGAGAGAATTCTACAGCCACATCCATAAATGTCAATAGTCCCTGAAAAACACATACACACACACATATTTACCAAGCGGTTATGGACAGAATTTTTAACTTGACTCAAGGTGAAATGAGAGAGTAAATAGAACTGGTTCTGACTTATAGGAATGACTGAAATTATCCAATAAAATAATTTTCAACCCAGAAATATTCTCTAATGTATTCTCTAACTCTGAGAAGAGACTAGAATAAGATCCACAGCATCGGGGTATATATGTTACTTTTCTGAATCATAAAGTATAAACTTAAGGGCATGGACACAAACATGTACATTTTTTATAGCTATATATACAGGCAAGACTCCAGGGCTGGGTGAGATCTAAACAAGGTCCTCAAAAAGGGTGAATCTGAACAGAACTGGGGAAAGGAGAGACCCTCTGTAGAATTCTGTTCTCTATGCCACTGGGGTATTTCAAGTTCTGTTTTTCCTAAGCTTACCTAAGAGAAACTTAAATCCCAGTGTTTGTGTAATTTTAATCTTTTCTAGCCACTGCCCTGTCAATTTTATAACATATACTAATAAGCAATTTAAACAAATATCTTAAAGTTTTCCAGGGTAATATTATTAGAAGATAAATGTGTATTCTTATCAAGGTAAAAGAAATCAAAAAATAATAATGCTTCTGTCCATAAATATCCCTTCAGGTGATGACATCAGAAGCCACAACAATATAAAGAAAGTGGCCCAAATGAAGCTCACGATTTTTTCACACATCTATTTGCTGTACCAACCAAATGATACTTAATACAACCATTTTTTCAGTTGCTAGTCTGGACTAAGAGTTCCTGGATTGTAGAAACCATGACTGCTTCATCTATTTTTCTAATGGCCATATAAAATTACAGCAATCAGTTTATCTGCTTGAGTCTCCAGATCTCCTCCTTGTTTTTACCCAAGTACCAGAAAACTGGAGAAACTCTCATCTGGGTACCAACGAAAAACATCCCTTGTATAAGGGAAGGAACAAACACAGGATGACTCATTTCTCTTACAATGAGACAAAAGCAGAATTAACCACTCTTGTCAGCCTGATACAATTCTGCTCTGGACATCCTCAAATGTCTCAAAAAAATGCCTACAACATTGTGAGAGGGTTCCCAGTGACCCTGGGCTGAGGGTTCAATAATAAGCTAGGCTACAGAGAATCATACTAATTCTAAATAGAAAATGGAACTGCCCTGATTGAGCTCCAGAATTACTTGTTCTGATTAACTAGCTTTTGGGTAGGAGGAAGGACAAGAATATTGTACATAACATTTTACAGGCAGGTATAGTTGTGGTCGTGGCTCTGGATACTTTGTGGTCTTGATCTCTCACTCCTAAGATATTTATTTTTATTTACAGAATTTGCTATCAGATTCTATTTACATCTGGATCCTCTCACATAACTGTGGCAGACCTGCTACAAGATCTTATTGGAAAAAATCTGAAAAGCTCAAAGAGCCACAGTCTCAAACGGAGCTGTAGGATGTCTATGTTGACATCTCACAATGCAGAAAATGCCTTCTATTGGTTTTCAGTACATTCCCAATTCAAAGTCTGGCCCTGTCTTGTAATCCCAGGCAGAAGCCAGATCTTATGTGCAGATTCTAAGTGGGATCAACCTAACTCTGCATCCTTAGGTGTTACAGAAAGCAAAGTACAATCAAAGGAGAGATCCCCTCAGAGGCTGTTCTGGCACATTCCAAATGATGTTAACCTAAAAGGAAATAGCTGAGAAAACATGAATATAAGTATACAATTTATTTGGGCCAAACTTGAGGATTGTAACCTGGGAGCAAAGATTCAAGTTGCCTGGAACATATACTTTGATTAGCAGCAGTTACAAGTGGATTTGTAAAGGCAAAAAGAGAGGCACATAGAGTGGATTGATACAAAGTTGTCTCTCAAAATTTTTTTTTATTTACAAAAATAAATTGATTATTGATTGGATATACATTGTTAGGCTATAGGATGTGGGTTATAGTGTCCAGTGTGGCATTAGTAGTTCAATTTATAGCTACTTGTGGCAATACCAAGCAGTTTCCAGAGGTAAATACATAGCTCAAAGAAAAAAGACATAATTGTAGCCTCATTTTAATGTCTCTCTGAGACTTATAAAGAAAAGGATTATTAGCCGGGCATGGTGGTGCATGCCTGTAATCCCAGCTACCGAGAGGCTGAGGCAGGAGAATCACCTGAACCTGGGAGGTGGAGGTTGTGGTGAGCCGAGTTGGTGCCACTGCACTCCAGCCTGGACAACAAGAGCGAAACTCTGTCTCAAAAAAAAACAAAAACAAAAACAAAAAAACAAACAACAACAAAAAAACACTTTTTATATAAGAAATGCAAATCCTTTTCTTCTTTTCTTCTCTTTTCTTTTTCTTTTTGAGATGGAGTTTTGCTCTTGTTGCTCAGGCTGGAGTGCAGTGGCGCAATCTCAGCTCACTGCAATCTCCTCCTCCCGGGTTCAGGTGATTCTCCTGCCTCAGCCTCCCAAGTAGCTGGGATTACAGGCATGCACCACCATGCCTGACTAATTTTTTGTATTTTTAGTAGAGACAGGATTTCTCCATGTTGGTAAGGCTGGTCTCAAACTCCTGACCTCAAATGATCTGCCCACCTTGGCCTCCCGAAGTGCTGGGATTACAGGAGTAAGCCACCGTGCCCAGCCTTTGGTGAAACCCCAACTCTACTACAAATACAAAAAAAAAAAAAAAAAAAATTAGCCAGGCTTGTTGGTGCACATCTGTAATCCCAGCTACTTGGGAGGCTGAGGCAGGAAAATCGCTTGAACCCAGGAGATGCAGGTTACAGTGAGCTGAGATCATGCCACTGCCCTCCAGCCTGGGCAATGGAGCAAGACTCCAACTCAAAAACAACAACAAAAAAGTCACTGAAAGAGGTAAAACGGTTGATTGCTGCCCTGTAAGGTTTGTAGAAATCTGATCTAGCCTCTCTGGAAGTGACTGTAGAGGACAATAGATACCAAATAGGCAGAGACGCAATTCTTCCTGCATATTCAGGGAAGAGCATGCACTTTGCAGCACAATTGTGAGTTGATTGGAAGCCTGAGAGGGAAAGACCCTTCTAGAATAAAGCCTGGTTAGCACCTTATATGTTTATATCATGTCTGGTAATTCTAGACTGTGTTTGGAAAGTATAACAAGAGAAATTCTCTCCAGTCCCAGAAAAACTTCACAATGATAGGACAGAAAGAAAACTGTTTTATTACACAATTAAACCAGAATGTGACATGCATCACAATCAATCTGCTTAAGAGACTGCAAAGACAGAAAGACGGTCATCATAATTAGTCCACAAGTAGAAGAATTTACAGCACCATGTCATACATAGCTCATCCTAAATTCACCTGGTCATTGGGGATGCCACCTGTGTATGCTAATTGGTTATAATCAATGACAAAATAAACTTTTCACATCTTCATGACAGGAGGTAGTTGTGCGACTTGAAGCCAGGTGCCTGCTGAAGGTAGACTCTCAATCCCCTACTACAATAGTTGAATAGGGTGCTATCTTTTTGGTTATTTACACTTTAAAGCAATGGCTCTCTAGGTTCTGAGCACTCAGCTTCAGCACTCCTGCTTGCCCTCTACTTGTGGCTAGTGTCCTCTCTTGACCCCTACCATCTGCCAGTGAGGCACTCTCCAAAGCACAGAGCTCACAGCTGGCAGCTTACATCTTAAATGAACCCCAATTGCCACAGCAGCACTCCAGTACCTCATCAGAGACTGAAGACTATGGTACAGGAGAGCCTACAGGATTTGGGGGTAGAATTGCACCTTCATAATAATGGGAATGGGAGCAGTGTGTCAGCCTCAGTTTCAATTTATTATGGTGACTTGAAAAAAATACTGCTGGATTTCCAGCATGAGTCCAGATAGATAGGATGGTTCTCCCTGTGAAAACCCACCTCTATGTCAACACCAAGGGATTGTATTAGGGCTTCTAAAACAGACATCCAAAGCATTGAAGAGAAGAACAGCTCTCAGTCTGATTCTATTGCAAAGTTATATTGAGAGAAAAAAGAAGTTAAATGTATCTTGAGAAAAAACTCAGATTAGATATGATTGATCAAGTCAGCCAGAAAATATTCCCCTAAAAGGAGTTTCTCTCAAACTACCCCTAATGCACAGCTACCCTTGGCATGAGAAACATGAGCATTATGAAGAAAAAAAGCATATTCTCAGCAGAACCGTATAAGGTTTCTCTTTCATCTCTGCTGCTCTCATCTCCTAGCCATTGAATGGGGGTTCCATATTGAAATACAACTGACAATTCACCAGGACTTTTTTAAATTAGGAACTGAATCTGACATTGTTCATATAGTAGAATATATGTGAGCTTGCCACATAACTAACTGAAGGGCTATTATGGTTTTTGGGTAACCATATCACCTGTCTATTTGTCCTGGAAGGGCAGCATTCCAATTTAGTAAAATGAAAGACACTAAAATTATGCTTACCTATAACTATCCCTATTGGATAAAGCAATATGTATGTTGGATGCATGTTACAATTTGGTAGTATTTTTTTTGGATATTATATAAATAAGTATAAATAATTTTAATGTAGTAGTCATAATGTATGCAGGATTTAAAAAAATTGTCTATAACCATAATTCACTTTAAACACTATATTTCAGAAATATAAATAACAATATTAAAATGACTGCTTAGGAGATGCATTCAAAGCACATATTTTGAACTTATATTCATACTATTGTAGAAAATACTTTTTAATTTATATGAATGTATGTCATCTAAAAACACTTCACATAACTATGCTAATTGTTCTTAAGTAATAAATAGAAACCAAAGTACAACTACAGACTCCACTTTTCAGTTTATACACTGAACTGTTCTTGCTTTTGCAGTGTAAGTATTTCAATCTGCAAATATTAAATAATTACCTTGCATAATTAGTTTTCTGTCAAAGGAAATTAGTATGTTTTAGTCCTTATTATTCTGTATTACTAAATTTACTCCTATCTTTGTG